AAGGCCGAGGCCAAAAGGTACACCGATTTGATGGAACGGGCCATTCCGAAGCTAGCCCGAAAAAGACAAAGGATGACCGAGTTGGCCCACGGTAGATAGGTCCGTAGCTACGAGGCCCGAAATGGAAATGCTGGGCCCCAGTACCAGTATAAATTGGGGGACCTAGTGCAGGTACGTAAATGTGCACGCGACCGGAAACTCGCTCCCAAGTTCTCTGGCTGTTTTCACGTTGTCGAACTCGGGCCCAACGGCACCAACACGGTGCGCATCGCGCCTGAGGCTAGCGCTAGCCATAGCTCCGTCCCCATCATCAGACATACCTCCTACCTCCGTCTCCTTCCTCCTTCTGATTTTCCTCCCTCTTCTTCCTCGGAAAGCGAGGAAAACGACGACGATCTAACCCTCTCTCCTCTTTCTCCCTCTTGTCCCTCGTCCTCCTCTCCAACCTCGCCATGAGTTTCATCACGGAGCGGGTTCTCGACGCACAGCTGCGGCAGCCACGTGGCCACATCTTAGAGATCCGGCAAGTTTGTCACCCTCGGCTCAATACGGATCTCCGCCGTTTGATGCGATTTTTCTGCGACGAAGGTATCTGTGTCGCCGCCGCGTTTCGGATAGAAGGAAGCCCTCACGCGATAGTGTTCGCGGAGGTTACTGCAGTTCATCGGCGAGCGGGTCCCAGAATGAGCCACGTCACCACAGTGACGGCATTCACCGGCGACATCAGCTCGGTCAATCCGCTGCGGCATACCGCGATCTTGGCCTCGTTGTGCGAGTGGATGGAGCAAGTATCCAACGTGTGGCAGCACGTCCTCACCCGGGAGGGGTATAACATCATCCCGATCTTTGCATCAGACCTTGACGGCATTCGCCGATCACCGCGCGAGCGGCCAGTTGCGACCCCAACCCTCGTCCCCTTCCCCCATCCCCAATGAACCACGCCAATTTTCTCGCCCCTCTCTCTACCTTTGGTCTTCCCTCTCTCTTCCCCACCTTTTGGCAATCCGATCTCCACCCTTCTCTCTCCTTCTCGTTCGAACCTCTTTCGGTCCCTCTTATCAATCCTGGACATTGGCGGCTGTGGCGCGAGACTTTTGAGGAGTTGTCCTTCTGCCTGGACCGAGTACAAGTGAAGTGGACGGGCACTATCGAGCACCCCACGTGGATCGAGAATCCGGAGCTGCTGATCATACAGGGTTGGAGGACTAACGAGGAAGGAGATCTTATTGGATTCCTCTTTGGATCGGTACGACCGGGTCGCCGTCAGTTGATTGCACAGGAGCTCATCGCACCGATCGTGCAATTGGCGGACGATCTCTCGCCTGACATCTGCTTTCAGAGCGACAACAGTCCTGCTCCGTACATTTTCGAGCGATCCTTGGATCCGTACCTTCAGTGGACTTCGTGCTTAGAGGAACCTAGGGACGAGGATACGCTACCATCGCGGCGGGGAGTATCTGAAGCCGTACGAGATCATCCCTTACGCCTTCTACCCGAGGGCAGAAGAAGTGGTGATTGACGACGACGACGACGAAGAAGACGACGACGAGGAGACATCGGAGGAGGGAAGCTATAGTGAACATAGCGAGGGCGAGCTGAGTGAGGAGGAGGAGGAAGAAGAAGGAACCGGGTCCGAGTGGGAAGCCCCGCCGGAGGAAGCGACGCGTACGGGAACCGAGGCGGAAGATCCGGAAGCGGCGCGAAAGCGCGAAGAGATTACCTCCAGAAAGCGCCAGCTAGAGTTCGCTAGCGAGGCTAGCCTGCGCATCGGTAGCAATCCGACCAGGGATTCAGAGCCGCCGAGGCCCGAAGATGGCGACCCTGCAGCCGCCACCTCAAGTACCGCGCGACGGAGACGGCGCCGATCCCCCTCCTCCTCCAGCCCCACCTGTCCCCAAGTTCGCCCACGTACCAATGCGGGCGATAGGCCTTCGACCTCGGACGCTGCCCCGCCGACCCCTTGATTTTCTCACCCTCGAGCAGATCCGTACCCCCGTCACCTTCCATTCCCATCCTTTCCATCCCCATCTCTTCCGCGACTTCTATTCTACCCGTCTACTCGCCACCGTCCATTCTCACACCTCCCTTCAGTCTGCTGCTCCCACATTCTGTTGGCATCTCTTGCTGTTCAGCGCTGCATGGGAGCGATCCAACGTCATAGAAGTCTATTGCGTTGCCACGGGGACAATCCCCGCCTGTCGCCACTTCGAGATCTTTCGAGCGACGCTTTTTCGCACCCTCTCCTCCTTCTATCGCGATTACCTCGCTTCCCTCCCCCGCAGTGGCGATCATTTCCCCCGCTTCCACCGGATCATCCGATATGAGGAGCTCCCGGTGACGATGGAAGGGATGAATCGTTTCCTACCCCCACTCCCCCTCCGTCATCCCCGCAAGATCCCCGGCATGTACCGCCTCTACTGGCCTATTCCAACTAGG